CTTAGGCACGAGGTTTTCTTTTTGCACAGGAGATTTTAGAACTGACAGCTCTGCTCGTTGAACTAGACCTGAAAAGAAAGAAGAGCTTCTGTTTCATCACCAGCTAGGAAGGATTTATGGATGAAATTCTGCCATAAATTAAAAATCTCAACCCTCTCAAGGAGAGCAGCCCTCTGCTTCGTGTGACTCTCTTTAGTCCTCCAAGAGCCCCAGTGAATCTCTGATTTCCTGCTTTTTTTTTGCCATTGAGTAGTTTTTAAAATCTCAGAATTTGAAATATAAATTCCACCTTCAGGAACCAGGGAAAATGGAGGGGCTCTTAGTTTTGGTTGGAAAAGGGGGCATTTAGCAGATAATTCCTATTCCTTCAGAAGCACTTCCTACAAACTTTCTTTTCAACAGCCAAACTTTCCCTCTGTCCTTTGCAGACCATTATGAAACCACGTCAAAAGCATTTTCTGGTGTCCAGGAGAACTTGGGAGAAGGAATGGATATAAATAAAGTGAATGATTTCACTCTCTGCTTGAAAATAAGTGAGGATTTGGAACAATCCCATCCTTGTACAATTTACTAAATCCTCATTTTTGGCATAATTTGGTACATGAGGTGTGTCACTCCTCTTGGCACACACATCAGGTACCTTTGTGGAGAACTAAACCCTTTCTTTAGGGAAATATCTCTTGGGTTATGAAACAGTGAAAAAATAAACAAACCTCCTTAGGTTTAAAAAATCAGGTTTGAATGAATAAATGGATGACCTGTTTTACAGAAGTACTGGCCAGTTTTCACAAGTGAAAAGTGAACAGAAATTCTGGAGCCCAGAAGTTCCTAGAATCAGTTCATTTACTCAGGTGCAAGTACAAACCAAGGTCAGATCCCTGTTTTCTAAGGCAGGTGAATAAAATGGAATCAAGTTATATTATGTATTATATTCCATTTTTGGAAATGATGACCTGTGAGATCCTTTTAAAACAGCTTTAAATAAATCTTATGTTTCCTGATTTGTTTTTTTTTTTTTTTTTCTCTCAGATTCTCAACCCCTCAGTAGCCAAAATCCTCCAGCATGGTGATGTGATGGGAAATGTGGGAAAAACATAAAAAAAAAGGAAAGGGGAAAGGAGCTGATTTGCTTTGGGATGTTCCCATCCCTGCTTTTCCCTTTTCCTCCTCCTCTTCCCCATCCCCATTGTGGCTGTGCTTTAGGAGATGGAGGAGGCTCCTGGTAATTGGTTAATCAGCTATTTTCAATTCAATTCCTGGCTGTACTTACCATGGAAAATTAACAGTCCTTGCGTATAAATATGACCCCTACTCCTGGATTAATTTGATTATGCGAGAATCTCAGTTTTCATTTAAAAATAATAACTTTCTGGCTGCTCTGATAAAACAAGTTTGGATATGTAATCTAAATATTCCCTAATGGCTTAAAAAAAAAATAAAATCAAAAAACAAATATGAAGAACATATGAATCTCTTGTTAATAGAATTTAAATGTTCTCAAATCTTTGCTATGATTGCTAGAGATTGAATATTTTAAAACCAGAAAATTCCTGATTTTCATTCACTGCTGGATCAGCATTCTCTGAAAGCCAAAACTTTTTTAAACATCTTAATTTGGGTCCACAAAAAGAGAAGTGATGTTCATTAAATGACTGAGGGTATCTTAACCTTGAATTCTTTAAATTTCCCTGGGCTTCTAAATATTGTTGGAACTTAACTTGGGCTAGTTTGAAAGGAAATATTTTTTACAGAACTCTCCCATTTGAACATATTTCATTGTTGAATTTATCTCTTAAGGGTGTGATACCATCAACCCGTGGAACTGGGAGGATAAATGAAATGTATCCTAACAAATTAAAATGTGCCAGGGAACAGGTCTGGGCATTGGAACTCGATTGTCCACGCTGATAAATTGCTGGGATAGGATCAAACATGATTTCAGCTGGGCTAATTAATTAGTTTGTAGATAAGACTTGTGTGTTTGAGTGGATAACTGGTACAGGCTCATGGTGAGGGCAGCAGGGAGGGAGATGGTTCTGCTTGGGCTCAGGAGACCTGCAGAGCTGCTCCAGCCCTGGGATCCAACAGCAGGAGGACGTGGAGGGGATGGAATGAATCCAGAGGAAACCATGGAGATGCTCCAAGGGCTGGAGCCCCTCTGGAAACAGGCTGGGAGAGCTGGGGGTGCTCCCCTGGAGAAGAGAAGGATCCAGGGAGAGCTCAGAGCCCCTT